ACCTCACCATGCCCCCTCTGAACTCCTGAGCTACACCACCCTGGAGCACAATAAAGCGAGGTCGCTTTAGAACCACACCTGGGCTCAGGAAGACTTCCTCCATCCCAGGGCATCCTGGCGCCCTGCAGACCCCCCACCCCCTGCCGCTCCCCCAGCTGTCGGCCGGCCTGCCCACCCATGGCCTGGCATCACGTGCTTAGTGCTGGAGTCCAGACGGGTTGAAATCTGTGAGTGAAACTTCCCAAAAGGGAAATGGGGGTGGGAGGGGGGAGAGGAAGGGGGAGTGACACCTTTGTCCCTGGGCCCTGAAGATCTAAGATGAAGGCTGCTGATAGTTCTAACACTCATTCCCAGAGGGGGGTGGGGGGAGGCTGTGTGAAGCGCCCCCCCCACGCAGCTGCGCCCTGCCTTACCTACCCCAGGCGTTCCTCCCATTGCTCCCCAGCAGGCAGCCCGCCCGCTGGGCCCCTCCAGTGAGCTCAATTAAGACCCAGGCATTGTCTCCTCCCCCCCTCCTTTATGTTCCCTGCCGGCCCCCCTTCCTCTTGTCAGATAATCACGGGAAACCAGCAAACGGTGACACAGTTACCAAGACAACAGAAGTTAGGACTGGCGAGGAGGTCTGAAAGCTAATCCTAAATGAATTATAGGGCAAGAGTGACAAGGGGGTGGGGACCAGTGTCGTCGGGCTTCAAAGAGGCCCCAGGGCATGAGACAAGGTGCTGTCGGCCTCAGGGCGCTGGCCGTGGGCTCCACCACTGGCTTGAGGGTGACCCCGGAGTCCTCTGCGGTGGGGAGGTCGGAGAAGGAATTCATTAACATGGAATTCTCCACTCAAGATGGTCCGGCACCACCGACATACTTCATCCGATAAGACGCAGGGCCTGGGGTGCACCCAGTTCAGCTTTTCTGATGGGGGGGGCAGTGGGAAAAGAGCAGGGATGATCTGATCAAGGGGATTCTGTTTCTTCTTTACTTATTCAGAACTTGCCATCTTGTGACCAGGGCGCCGAGCACGCCCCGGCTGGCTGACAGCCATTTCGGGAGGCTGAGCAACGTGGCCCTGAACTCCTCGCTGGCCTGCCTGGCCCCATGGGGGCCGACCAGCGATGCCTCCCCTGCCCTGGCCAGTGCCCCTGTCAAGAATGACTCAGCCAGGTCTCTTGGGAAGGGCCCCCTTCTCTGACACCAGTCCAGAGGCCTAGACATGGGTAGCATGAGGCCACGCGGGCAACTGCAGCTAACGGTTCTAAAGCTCGGGGTCCACAAACTAACTCCTTGAACGCTCACACCGACCCCACTGGTGCCATTTAATAAACAAAGCAACTGAGGCCCAGAGAAGGTAAGTAACCTGCCCAGAGCCACACAGCCAGTTGGGGAGCAAGGGCAGAATGGAACCCAGGGCTCTCCGCCCAGCATCCTTGATCTTAACCAGTGCTCCAGCATCCGAAAATCTGCCAGCCCTGAGGTGGCACGGCCCGCCAGGCAGAGGCTGCAAACAGCCTCAAGCTCTTGGTCAACACCCACCTCTCCCAGGAGGCACCCCTGAAAGACAGGATACCCCTCCCTCCGGACTCCTCTACACCCTCTCTCCCCAGCCTTCCCTGCTTTCACTCACCCAGGACTCCCCTCCAAGGCAATTACAATCCCATTCTCAAACTTCCAGGGGACTCCGTCACCCAGCTCAGTTTCCATAATCAGGACAAGTGTCAGGCCCATGCTCACACTTGAGCGAGCATGAGAATCCCCTGGAGGGTTCGTGAGCACACAGACTGCCAGACCCCACCAGAGTTTCTGCCTCAGTAGGCCTCAGGGCGGGGGGGGGGGCGGTGGAGGGGGCAGGGAGAGGGTGTCCCTGAGACTCTCTACCTCTAATAGCTCCCAGGAGGTGCCAATGCGGCTGGCCTGGGAACCCCACTCTGAGAACCGCCGAGGTCTTAGCCCAACTCAGCCTCCACTCTCCGTACTTTGACCTCTACTTGCAGACCCCACACTCAGAGGCCCCCAGCCTGCCCCCCTCCTTCAGGACCCCAGCACTCTAAGGAAAGCCTCTGCTGACGGTCTGCCTCCACAAGGAGGCTGTTGAGCCATTTTCCCAAAACAGATGGGCCCAAGGCGTGCCGCCATCCAATCTGTCTCCACCTCCAGACTCTCCCCCACCTCTCAGCGCCTCCACACTGCCAACACAGTCTAGCCTGCCACCTGTCTCTCGCCTGGGGCCATGGCAGTCCCTCCATACTGGTCTCCCCACTGCCCCCTGACCGCCTGGAAATCTACCTGAGCCCGGCAGCCAGAGGGGTGCTGAAGGCCAAGTCCTATCACCTCTCCTCTCACCTCTACGTTGCTCCCCAGGGCACATACTGTGTGGCCACACACCCATCCTTGGGGCCCCAGGACCTTTGCACATGCATGACCCTTTGCCTGGGCCCTTGCCCTTTAAATTTCACCAGGGCTAATACCTCCCTTTCTGGCCACCTGGACAAAGCAGCCTCCACCCACACTCTGGCTACCCGCTTCCGTTCCCCTGCTCCCCTTTTCTCCAGAGCCTGAATCATGGGACACAGTGCAATGTGCTCATGGCTGGAATAGGCACTCCAGGAGGACACAGCCCCTGGGGGCTTCTCGGCCGCATGCAGCGTACCTAGGCCAGTGCCTGGCATGTTGTAAACACGCACTGAATGAACAGAAAGAACTCGGCTGCTTTAAAGGCCTGGAATCACCACCCCCAACCCCACCACTTACAGCAGCATCAAGCTCACAGGTTGCTGGCCTTATGACCTCAAGACCTTCCAAAATGTGGTTCCAACCCGCCCTAGGGCGTCACTTCCTACCACCCTGCATTATGCTTCCTCCCCACGCTCTCGCCTCCCTCTGAAACCATCCTTCCTGGGAGGCCACCAACTCCCAGGGTGGGTGGCCCAGCCCCCTGTCAGGGTCAGCTCTGCCTCCACCAGCTGGGCCTGTCTGCCCTGCCCCCACTCTGAGGGCAAGGGCTGGTCCCAGTGTATCTGTCTGGCCTCCACGCTCTGGCACCTGCAGGGCCAGAGCCAACAGTTACCAGTGGCCGATGAGGCCCCTCCTGCCTCCCCACGCCTTGGGTCCAGGACCCTCATTCTGGGAGGGGCTGCACAGGCTTCAGAGCCCTGCCACTAGATGGGACTGCTGAGAAGCAGGGGAGGAATGGGGGCCTTCCCTCTCAAGTGCCCGACAGGTGTGGGTGGGAGGGTTTGCCCCCTGAGTAGAAAGGCCAGCTCTCATGTCCCCTCCTCCCGTGGCCTCTCACACACTGCTTCCACCCCCACCTTAATCCCAGTAGGTCACTCCCCTGCACTCCCAGAAAATTCTGCACACACCCGCATTTCTCAACCCACGTGTTGCCGCCACCGCGGCAGGAATGGCCCAACGTGTGTTCTCTGCCTGCCCGAAGTGCACTGAACATGCTGAGTATTTTAAGAGCAGCTTCCCTATTCTTGTTCATCCTTCCTCACTGCACCAGCATCCTTCCACTCAGCCTCACTCCCTCTGCGTTCCTCACTTCCAAGGCCTGCCTTCAATGCTGCTTCATCCAGGGAGCCTTCCTGGATTTCCTCCTCCATCAGGGTGATTCCGGGAGATTCCCGCCGTATTCATCTCACTCCCCGTTTGTTCCTGAGGCAACTGGGAGATAAAACACAGACCTCCTTCGCTGCTCCTACCTCCATACCTCAACACAGAACAGGGTCTGGCACCCCGGGTTGGGGGGGGTGGGCAGGCCTTGTCCAGCTGGGGGAGGGGGAGATTCTAAAAGGCGACAGACCTGTTCTGTGTCCCCGGAGGGCAGAATTGGGTCAAAGGCACACACTGTATGTTCTGTGTGAAAAGCAACATTCTGACAACCCACAGTGGCAAGGCAATTATCTATCAGGAACAGGACCCTGAGGAGACCCCCGAACGGAGAGAAGGGAGGGGGGTTGGGCCATCTGACCTCTGAGGTCCCTTCCAAGTCCAATGTTCTGTGACTTCCCAATCCCGCAGGCCATTAAGCAAGTGGCCAAATGCCCACTGGGCGGCGGTCCAGGCCTGGTCAGAGGGCACTTCCTGTCTCTCTGCAGGAGGAAGACAGGGCAGCCGCGGATCCTTCGAGGCGGAGGACAGGGGGCTTCCGGCACGGAGTGGGCTCTGGCTCTGGGGGCGAGATCTGGGCCTGTCTTAACTCAAACCCAGCCGGCCCCCACCAGCACCCCTCAGCTTCCAGCACGGCTGTGATCTGGGCTGAAGAGTAACCACCAACCCCAAGCCGGAGCTGTGGAGGGCCTGGCATCAGTGGGGAAAAAAGCCAGAAAAACGCATTTTCCCCTAAAGACTTGTAAAAAAAATCTCACTGATTTTTTTTCCCTTTTACCCCAAGCTTTCACAGCTCTAAATATGCCACACTTAGTAATTTTACGAGCAAACCAAGCTATACATCACACAGTTTTATGTTCCTAAATTAACAAAAGGACTTTAAATCTATATGGAGCTCTTAAAAACACACAAAAAAGCATGGCATCTATTTTTATTCCCTCACCCCCAAATTCCCTCTTCCCTTCTCCCCCCGCGCCCCCCACCCCGGGGGCTGCAAGATTCCAGCTGATCCTTTAGCTAGACCACCAAGGAAAGACAATTCCAAATATGAATAAGGGAGTGCTTTGCTGAGAACCCCAAAGATGGGGGTTCCGCTGCCCTTTGGGAAAGACTACTTTAGGGGTTATAAAAGCCTGATTTTCCGCCCCCCTGCAAAGTAGATTACCATAGGATGTACCCTTGCAAATGAAGAGGCCCCATCTACCAATCCAATTTCACCAAAAGTCTCGGGAGAGTTATAATCTGCAGGTCCCGCAAGGGCTCCTGATGGCTTGTTTTCTTAGCTGCGAAATGCCAGGGTAGACCAGATGACTGCAGGGCCCATGCACACCTGCCACTGGGGGGGGGGGGCAGGAAACAGGGGGGCCACACCCGTCACACATGTCCACATCCAGGGGGAAGAGGGACAAGGAACATGGAGCGCTAGACTGGGAACAGAAGCCCAACTCCAGACACTTCATCCCACTGCTGGTGCTGGCTCTGTCTCTGGGAGCGGGTGAAGGAAAAGAATCCTCCTGCCCTATTCTAGGGCTGGAATCCAGGTATCATAATGGCTGTTTGCTCCAAGAGCATAAAAGAAAACTTTTCCTGACTCCCAGAGTCAAGGAGATAAGAAGCCGGAGAGTTTCCAATGGGGCTCTATCAGATTCCCACCCATGGAGTAAGAACAACACATTTAAGCAAGAAAAAAATCTTAATGAGAACCAAATTGAGCAGGGGGGTGGGAACCAGCCCAGGCCCCTCGGAGAAGGGCTGGGCCACAGCTGGGACAAAAGGGCCCCTTGGCTTTCCCAGCCGACAGATGGAAATGTGGCAGCCCCTCCCCAGTTCTCAGGGGTATCGGAAGATTAATTAGTGACTGCCTGGAAAGTGCTAGATGGGAGCCGAAATGCTTGTCCCCGCTGAGTTTCTGAGCTGTAAATAAGCAGCTTTCTCAATCACCACTGAAATAGCAATGCTGTCCTTTTATCTGACTCAGATCCCTCGGAGCAGGCCTAGGGCGGTTCCAGAGCCTGCCCCAACGCCATGGGTTTGCTACGGACCCAGCAGCTTCCCACGGACCAGTCCGAAGCCGGGCCTGAGCTCCATCACCCCTCCCGGCGTCAGCCCCAGAGCGGGCACCTGAGGACGGGGAGCTGGGGAGCTGGCGGCCTGCCCTCGGCTCCAGCCTGCTCCCTCAACTCAGGTGAGTCTGAGCAGAGACCCGCACCCAGCCTCACACACAGGGGCCTTCTGGCAGTGGTCTAGGGGAGAAAGAGAAATCCAGGCAGCTCGCCACAGGCGGCCTGGGCGCCCTCCGCTCCGCAGCAGGGGAAGCCCACGTCTCTTGCAAGCCTGTCAGAGGCTGTGCGGAGGGGCCCCGGGGGCCAGCTGACCCTTGGGAGACAGCTGGGGGGCAAGGAAAATGTTCTGAGGGAGACCCAGATTGCCTGACAGCAACCACCAGCAGGCTGTGTGGCTTGAGGCCAAGCCCCAGCCCTCTCTGGGCCTTAGTTTCTTCCCTGGAGTTTGGAGTGTCCTTCCCAGCAGTGGACAGTAAATCCTGAGGGGCAGTCGGGGTCACCCAGAGTTCAGCATGGGCCAGGGTGGGGTTAGCTGACAGCTGCGGAGTCCTCCCTCCGTGAACTCCAGGAACAAGATAAGGGGGCCGGCGGGGCGCCACCATGGACGCCGACGGCCAACTCTCTCCCTCACTCTCCTTTAACAAATATTTATTAAGCAGGGACTCTGGAGCCCAACCGCCTGCGGTCAAAGCCTGGCTGTGCCGCTTACTGCCTGCGTGGCCACGACCTCTCTGTGCCTCAGTTTCTTTCGCTGGCCAGGGCACCACGTAAGAAGTGGATGCCACCGCCTCTCCCTCGTTATTCTATTGTTGCTACGGTCTGGCGCTGAGCTGGGCACGAAGGAAACGCACACGAGCCCCTCCAGCACGGAGTTCGCAGTCTGGTGGAGTTCAGGAAAGGGGCTGTCTGGGCGCAGGAGCACACAGAAAGGAAACTGTCCAAGGAGCATTAGAGACCCCACCCATCCACCAGTCCCCAGCTCTCTTCCCACGTGCCCACGCCTCCTTCTCTTGGCTTAGGAAGCGACCCCCCCCCACTGGATACCACCCCCTCCCTGCCCCTGCCAGTAAAGGAGCATGCAGAGGCCAGATACTGTGTCATGGGGTCCAGGGGTCTGGCCCAAACACCTGAGTTCAAGTCCCAGTTCAACCACTAAGGAGCCCTGTGATTTTCTGCAAGTAATTCCACCTTAATAATAATAATGCAGGGTGCTAGCTGGCTCAGTCGGTAGAGCATGTGACTCTTGATCTCGGGGTGGTGAGTTTAAGCCCCACGTTGGGTGTAGAGCTTACTTTTAAAAAAATAATTTTTATTCTAGCTATCACTTGCTAAGTGTTAACTTTGTTGCCGGCATGCAGGAACTGTCCTTACACCCAATGTAGCAAACTTTCTCTGTCAGGGGACAGATAGTAAGTATTGCCAGCCTTGTTGCAACTAGTCAACAGCTCTAGTGTAGCCCCAAAGCTGCCACAGACCACACATAAAAGAGCAGGCGTGGCCATGTGCCAATAAAACTTTATTTACAAACACAGGGGGTGGCCCGGGGATCACCAATCCCCTGCCTCACACTGATACTGAGGGTTAGACCATTATGGATCCCGGGTCCCAAGTGGGAAAACTGGGGCCCAGAGAGCTCAAGTCACTGGACCAAGGTCCCAGCTTGGAAGAGGTAGAGCAGGACCCTGCAGAACTGTGCTGCTCGGCCTCAGTCCTGTCACTTGTCAAACAGGCAGCAGCTTCGGGGCTGAGGGCTGCACAGGCAGGGGCTGGGCCCTGGCTCCCCGCCCTTACAGACACTGCCTGGGGGTCTGGCTGTGGGGACAGAACCAAGTCCCAAGGGGCTCCAGAGCGCTGGTGTCAGGCCACCACAGGCAAGGCTCTGCCTCTGCTCTAAGGGGTGCGTCCAGGCCCCCCTCCTTCCTGGAGCAGGGCGGTGGGTAGCAGCGTTCTGCATCCCAGCTCTGCCACTGCTAAGCTGGCCAAATCTCTAGCTCCTCTGAGGCTCCCTTTCCTCGTCTGTGAAATGGGCAGCCACCAGCACCGAGCTCAGAGGTGGGAGGGAGATTTACAGGAGAGATTCCTGTGAAGCACTCCCAAGGGGGCCTGACAGTGGTCAAGAGAACTTGGCCACCAACTACTCTGAGTTCAGAGAAGCCCAGGGAAGCAAAGCCACTTGACCGTGGTTCTTCCCAGCTAAGCCTCTACACATTATAATAGCAAAATTATAAAGTACAAAACCCTAGCAGGGGAATTAAGAAAGAAAAACCATGAGAGAGAGAGAGAGAGACAGAGAACTCTAGGGGGTGACAAACCTCCCTCCCCAGGCTGAGAATGACTTGTGCCCTGACCTCCCTCGGGGTCCAGACCTGCAGACTTCACCCTCCTGCCCCTGAGGGCTTACCACCAGCCAGGACTGATTTTCCTTAATTGCTCTGAATTTCCGAGCCTGACACTTTCTCCTTTTCTTTCCGAGGCTGAGGCTGAGTGTAAATAGAAAACCGGTCACCTGATGAATAATAAGTACCAGCAGCCACCCAATGGCAGGTGAAGTGGGGTGTAGATTACAAACACCTGCGCTTTTAAGACGCCCTGTACTTAGGAAGATTCATTCTTGCCACAAACATGTACTGAGCGCCTACAAGGGAAGGCGCAGCACTGGGGGAGGGGGGCTCCAGATACAGAGGGAAGAACTCTCCCTGCTTTCTTGCAGCTCCGGGTGCAGGGGGGAAGCCCACAGAAGAGCAGCTTCAGCGGGAATGCTCAGCTACAGCTGCGGTTCCAGAAGCCCCCATGCATCTCGCCAGCTCTCGGCTATCTGCTACCTTCCTACCGGGGAGATGGCTCCCCCCCCCTCCGCCGCCAGCAGCCCTGTGTTACAACGCACCCCTTTTGCAAACTGGGGGTTCCTGGTTCTAATTTGGTTCAGATCCTTTAAGGGCAGTGTCCGACCAAGGGGAAGTGCTGGATTTGCATTTCAGCCAATGAAGGGCAAAGAGACCAAGAATCAAGTGCAGACCCTGAAAAATACTCTTCCTACCAAAGAGGTGGAGACACCAAGCATGAAATGCAGCCCTTGTCAGTTTCTGGGACAGGCTGGGGACCTAAAACAGCCACAAAGAAACTCACAGTAACTGTACAGATTACACCCTGAACCCATCAGCCTTTCCTACTTTTTTTTTTTTTTTTTTTTGGTCTGTTGAACTCTTGGACGACCTCCTCCCCTTGTCCCGGTTCAGGGCGGCAAGCACCAGATCCAGCAGAGCTGGGTCCTGTCCAGGCCGTCCCTCCCCCCGGCTCCGGGGCTTCTGTGGGAGCTGAAGCCAAAGTGACAGGGGCTTCTTCTGAACGTACCGTGAAAAAACCCCAAACCCAACACTCAGCCACCTGCACCTTTCCCCAGCAAAACAGGGCAGAAATTACCCTCCACCCGCAGCCCCTTCTGCAGAATTTTAGAAGCCCCAGTATGAGCCCAGGAACTTCCCCTCCTCCCTACAGCCCCCCCATCTCCCCTCCCCCAGATCCATGGACACCCCCCCCCCCCGAACTTGGAACTGTGTGGACTCCCAGGGCAGATGAAACTCTCAAAGGAAAGAAGGGAAGAGAAAAACAGCTCGTTCCTACTGCCAGCGGTCACAGGCTGCCCTGCCTTCCTGACCTGGGCGTCAGGGGCCCACCGAGGGCAGGCCTAGTCACTTACTCCCGACCCCAGGGGCACTGGAAGGGGGTGCCAAGGAGGCAGCCGGGAGGGCCCCAGGGATCACCGAGGCTCCTACCTCCTCCGCCAGGAACCCCTGGCTTCCCACTTCCCCTCAGCCTACATGTCATTATTTGTCAGGTTTCAAAGTCCAAATAAGGTGAACTCAAGAGGGGCTCCCCTAACCTCCGGCTGTCACCCCTCCCCGGCCTCCGCTCTGGGTTACAAGCACGACTTGCCCCGAAACAGAAAGTTACACGGCAGGCTGCTGTCAGCGCGCAGGAAGGTTAGGGAAACAGGAAGCCACGCCAACCACCCTCCGGAGCTTCCCCCGGCCCCCTCCTCCGACCTCGGCAGGAACAAAACCTTCCAGGGAAGCCCGGGCAGGAAGGGGGGCGGGGGGCAGGCGCGCCACGCTCGCGCAGAGACGGCGCGAGGGGCCGGCTGGAGGCAGGGGAAAATAAGCCCCAGGCTGGGGGCGGGAGGGGGGCGCATGCCACCCGATCGGGGCGGCCTGCAGCAAAGTAACTTCGCAGCCGGTGCTTAATTCACCCAGGAAGGCAGCGGGTCTCGCTGCGCCGCCGCGGCGGAGCCGGCTCGGGGCAGACAAAAGGAGCGAGACGCGCAACCCCCGGCGGCGGCGCGGTGGGGGCGGCGGGCCGGGTGGGCGCTCCCCGCCGCACGTAGAGCACACACCGCCCGCTGGATCGCAGCGGGACTCGCGCCCGCCCGCTGGGGGCTCTGCCGATCCCGCCGCCCCGGACTCCGGCTGCGGGTCTGGGGGGTCGGGAGGGGCGGGGGTCCGGGACGCGCCGGCGCCGCGCGGGACCCGGGGAGGCGCACAGCTCGCTTACCTGGTAAGTAATACAGAGGCGGCTTCAATCCAAACATGATTCAGATTAGAATTCCATAGTGGCCAGAGAGGGATGAAGAAGGGGGGAAAAAAAATTTTTTTTTTAAACCCAGCAATGAGACAAAAAGCGCCGTCCGAGCCAAGGCGCTCAAAAATGTCCAAAACAATAAAATAAAGACAGAAGAGCGATCCCGAGAGCGACGGAGAAAAATGTCTTTTTTCTTTTTTTTCCCTCCCTAAGATGATGAAAGGGCTCTCTCTCGGGCCAGCGCCCGGGCAGTTTCGGCCACCTCGGCCCGGGCAGATCCACAATGGGGTGACTGACGACCGAGGACGGGCCGGAGCCTCCACGGCTGCCCGGTGTCTTCGCCGCCGCGTGTGTATTTTCTGCCTTTTGGACTTGAGATGCAAATAAAAAAAGGAGGGGGGCGCACGGCGGAGGGAAGCAGGCGGGAGAGCGGAGAGGAGCGCGAGAAAAATAAAGGGGGGAGGTGAGGGTGATGAAATTGGGGGGTTAAGATCTTCAGGGATTACTCATTTGAAAGAAAAAAAGGAGAAGGGGGGGGGAAGCAGCCCCAAGACGTGCGAGTAGCAATCTCTCCTCCATTCAGCCATTTGAATGTCAAGGGCGAGGGTCAAGGGACCTGTTTCCAACAGGGTTTCACGTTCAGAACCAGAAGGAAAAAGGAAGGGGGGGCGGCGGGAGGGGGTATCTCTTGTTGCCAAGGAGAAATCGGCTTTGTTTTCGTTTCCCCTTAGCTACTGGGTGAGGAGGGGCGGGGTGGGGGAGAGGAGGAGGGGGCGAGCGGGAGAGGGGAGAGGAGAAAATTAATACCCAAACAGCCGAGAAGTACCGAGGGGGAGATTTCTTCTCGTAAATAAAAGAGGCAGCGATTGCAAACAAGTCTTGGGCAGGAGAAAGCAGGCCGAAGAGCCGGCTCCCCTCCCCCCTCTCGCCACCAACCCCCCCCCACCTTTTTCTTTCTTTCTTTCTTTTTTTTTTTTTTGGTTATCTCCCCGGGCCGGCGTCCCACCACTGACTCAGAGAGCGGGGGGGGGGGGGGTAGGGAGGAGAAAGAACTCGCGGGGGCTCAGGCGCCCCGGCAGAAGGAGCAGGAGGAGAGCGGGGAGGCGAGAGCGCACGGCGGTGGAGAGCCCCTCGATCAATTTTCATGCAAGAATCATTATCGGTAAATTGGAAAGCTGGCTGCCTGACAGCAGATTTGTCTCCCCTAATGAAAGCGAAAGGGTAGGGGCGCAGCGGCGGGCGGCTGCAGGCGGCGGCGGCTCCTTCCGTCTCTACGCGGCATCTTCCAAGAGCTCCATGCTTTGCAGAGCGATAATAATAGTTTCACTTGCGAGCTTCTCCCCGCGCGGCCGCCAAGCTGGGCAGCGGATCCGTGCGGACTGGGATCCGGGCGCAGAGAGCTGGGCTCCCCTCTCCAAACGCGGGGAGGGTGCAGTAGCTGGCAGCGGGGCGCTCCGCTCTGCCCCAAAGCGGGGCCGTTTGCAAACAGTGGGCGGCTGCGGGCGCCGCCGGGCCCCCCTCGGCTGCCCAACTCCGCGCTCTGGCCACTCGCCCGCCCTCCCCACCCACGGCTGACAGCTGCGGGAGCCGGAGTTCACCCGCCGCCCGGGCCTAGGAGGAGAATCCCCAAACCGTGCCCCGGGGGCTCTGGCCAGCCTTTTGTGAACCCACGCGGGACTGCGGAAACGCACACGCCGCCCAGCCCGGGCGAGCTCCTAAGGCGAGCAGCTTCTTTCTCTCCTTTCTCTTCCTTGCGCCCCGCACCCCACCCTTAAAAATCCCTGTTGCAAGTGTAATCAAATGCTTGATACCATCTTCCACACTCTCCCCGCACTGGTGCATTATCAGATCCGGGAAGGCATGCTTCCAGGCAAATAGACCTAATAAATGCTATTACTGGGATTCTGCAAGCCCCGGCTGCACCATAGTAACCAGAGCCCTGGCTAATTTGGTTTAAGAGAACGATCAACTGCACAGAGTGTGTGTGAGGGAGTGTGGAGTCTGTATCTCTCCTCCCCACGCCGCCTCTCTTTCACACTAGCTCAAGAAGGCCCCATGTGATAATTCCCCAAATCGAAGGGGAAAAAACCCTGCCGCCAAACCACATCCTGTGCGCTCATTGTCCAGCCCAGCGATTTTAAAGAGACAGGCTCCATTTCCCCACGCCCCCACACACTCTTCAACACACGCTGCAAAGCTGCCTCTTGATGTGACAATTTATTTTCAAGCCCTTTTACCTTCTGAAGGGCCCCTTGGTGGCACAGCGAGCCGGAATCGCGACTTGGTGACACTAAGGGGTCACCTTTTGACCCCCTATACAACCATCCTGGTTTGAGGAACAGACCTGAGCCCGCAGGTACGCAGGGCGGGGCACCGCGGTCACGCCAAGCTTGGGTTCCTGCCAACGCTTTCCAGCCACTGCGTAAATCAGGGGTCCCCAGCGGCAGCCCCGGGGTCCCTGCTAAACGCGGCGGCTTCAGATGACAATTGAACTCCCGGAATATGATACTCTAGAGGAGAGCTCCGGAGGGCAAATTGGAGGAGGTGGGGGCACCAACCGTGCCTCCCGACCCCTCTGTGCCACCGACGCCCACTCCCCCCCCCCCGCCCGCCAGAAGACTCTTAAACGGGCTGGGCGGAGCGCTCGGAGCCGAGGGAGAGGTGGCGCTCCTCCCCGCCGCCACCAACGGCTGGGTGGCTGCCGCAGGCAGGCGGCCGCCTTCTCTGCCGGCTGGGCTGCCGGGGGTGCGAGGAGCATCTTCTAATCCCCCGGCCCCCGCTGCGCCCCGCCCGGCGCCTCTCCCCGCCGGCGGCCGAGCGCGCGCGGTCACCCGGGAGAGCGCCGGGGCTGCTGACCTGCAGGAAGCGGGCCGCGCGAGGCCGCCGGCGCCCGCCGCCGGCATCTGGCCGCTCCGCCCCGCGCTGCCCCCGGAGGTCGCGCCCGGCCCTCGGCGGCGGCGGCCCTTTGTTTCCGGGGCTGCGTGGCGGCGCGCTCCGCGCTCCCCGCGCCCCCCCCTGCGCTCGCCGCCGCTGGCGGCCTGGCCAGGGAGACAATCGCCCCGGCGCGGCCGGGTCGGGGTCCGGGTCCAGCACCTGCCCGCGCCCCCTCCCCCGCTCGGCTCGGCCGCGGCCCGGACCCCAGCTTTCGGCTCCCACCCATTTATCACCCGTTTATCACCCGCACGCTTGATAATCTGCGCCCCTCTGGGAGGGGGGGGCACCAGGGCAAGTAGGGGAGGGCCCGGGTGAGCGGACGCCCACTCCTCCCTCCCAAGTCCCTCATAAGCTGTGAAGACCTCTGATCCTACTTTGGGGGGAAAATAAACTGTTTTTAAAAGGCCCTAAACTATCAGTTTCTGTCGTCATTCTTTTATTGGTTTTTAATTCTCCGGATTACACGAACAACAGTGGTAATTAATACTAAACCTTACTCTACTGTATATGCTAATGGCAGGAGCCATAAAAATTAATTTGCAAACATGTCATTACACAATAGCTATACAGGCAATAAACCTGTAATTATGGGCCAATCACAGGCAGGGTGCAGAGGGAGGGGTGGTCCCCCAATCTGCTGGGTGCCCCCCTTCCCCTGCTAAAATGGGGAAGATGACGCCAACAAGGAGCTTGCCCTGTGAGAGCCACCTGTGGAGGATGCTCCCAGCTCCGGGGAACAGCAAAAGGGGTCTCCGGTCTCCAGCTCCAGGTGGCCTGGCTTCTGTGCAAGACTCCCCTGGAGACAGCCACTCCGGGGACCCATCAGGACCGATATATGGCGGGAGAGGCGAGGCAGAGCCTGGGAGAGCTCCCCGCCTAGCCTGCAGGTGGGGGGTGAGCAGCAAGGGGGGTAAGGAGTGGGCCAGCAGCAGCCTCCCTGCTTCCCCGTCAAAGGCAAACATCTCTCCCTATAAGCATTTGAATGCCTGCATTTAATTATCTCAAAATGCTCCGGCCCAGCCCCTGATTGCTTTTGGCCACTGCCTCAGGGAAGAAGGTGGGCAGCGAGATTCTGATACCTAAGGCTCCTTTGGCCCTGGATCTGGGTGGTTCAGAGTAGGCTGGTGACATTTCCTGGTGACAGGGACATTTGGAAGGGAGGAAAGGAGGAGACCCACTATGAGGGAGCACGGCTGCACCACAGCTCCTGACCTGAAGCCAAAACAGCTGAAAAATAAAAAGCCACCCCCGCCGTGCCAAGCAGCCTGCTTAGCGGGCTGACTCTCCACTGAATGGCTCGGTTGTTTGCCATAATGTGGCTGAACGAGGAGCTGGAAGGATTTTCCCTTTCCCACTGGCCCTTGTGGCTTGGCTGGCGTCTTTGGAACTCCTCACTATGGCCATTCATTCCCAGGGGAGCCACCCCACTCAGAGGGTGGTGATGGCCTGGCTGGGGGGGGGGGGGGGCGACAGGGCAGCCAGCCTGGGCCACACCTGGCCCAGGTGAGAAGGGCAGCACTCTCCTGGGAATGTCACCTCAACGGGATTCTGTGCAAGGACAGGATGTCTCTCTCCACCCCCTCTTCTCTCTCAGAGGCTGGTCACGGCCATAACCCTCCCCCTCCCGGTCAGCTCACCTCTGGGAGGAGGGGGAGGAGGACATTTCTAGAAAAGAGGCAGGAAATGGGGCAGGCTGAGCCTCCAGTGCCCCTTCTTAAAGTCTGGGCCACCGCAGTGCCAAGTCGCCCTCCCCCCACCTCCTTGAGAGACCCCTGTCCACACTGCAAACCGAACCAGGGTCAGAGGGCAGCTCTGGGCCACGTCCTGGGCAGGGTGGAAAGAAAAGAAAATCGCTTCATCTCTCAACAGGAAAGCAAGCTGGGGGCCGGCTGCCTCCCTGGAAGCTGTGTGGAGCCCACGAGACACCCACTCTGACGCTACAGGGCCCCCTCCCCCTGCTGCTCCTTCAAAATGGAGGGGCCCGAGACTCCCCCTAGCGGGGCTGTGGGTGCCACAGCATGGAGACAGCCTAGCCGGCCAAGAGCGGCAGCTGAACGCAGTAAAAATAGCTTCCCCGCACGTGCTGAGGACCGCGGCTGCAGCCCGGGTCTGGAGAGCGCAGCGCGGGGGGCCGGGGCGGGGGGGGGGGGGGGGGTCGCAGCCGCAGGGCCCGCCGCCTCTGCACGCACACTGCCACCTTGCTGGCCCCCCAAGGCCAGGCCCAGCTGCCGCCGGGCCACCACGGCAGGATCCGGAGGGGCCCCGCCCCCAGGGATCCCAGGAGAGGGGGCAGAGGGCATGCTGGGAGTGTGGCTAACCCGAAATGCCCCTTTGGGTCTGCCCCCTCCGCTTCCCTCTTTAGGATAATCGTGCCAGCTGATGTTTCCTGAGCACTCAGTCTGCGCCAGTTGCTGTTCTAAGCACTTTTCACAGGGAATTCATTGGATCCTCATGACAATGCTGTTCAAGGTCACCATGAAGAGTTTCATTTTCTAGATGAGGCAGCGAGAGGTCAAGGACCTCGCCCATGGACACACAGTCGGTGGTAAGTGGCGGAGCTGGGATCTGAGCTGGTTCCAGAGTCCAGGCTGGCGTCAGACCTATCAGAGTTCAAGTTTCAGCTGGGCCCCCACCCACCGAGTGCCCTCAGGCCGTGACATCACCATTTGGAGACTCAGTTTCCTCACCTGGAAAATGGGATGAAATTGCTCCT